CAAGAAGCTGTTAATTTAAAAAAAATGCTGTATATACACTTTTTAAGAGCCTCTCTTGCACTCCCTAGCGTAGCGACCCACCCATCAACTACCCAGAGCAAATTTGCAACTTCTCATATCAACCTAAAATTGCAACACCTCTGCAACCACTTGCATTTGCTAACACCAGTAAAAACCAAGCAACACCCCATCCGTCTATCCATCCATCCATCTGTTTTCAACTTTCAGAAAAGGTTGCTCAAACAAACTCTCCCGCTATTATACTGAAGAATCCATAGCGTGTTTTGATTTGTTGTCAATGAAACAAGTTTGGTAACACTTTATAATAACTACACGCTAATAATCATTAGTTAAGCATGAGTAAACCATTAATTCATCATTCATAAAGCATTAATAGACATTAATAAGCAGTTCATAAATACAGCTATAAATGCTTTCTTCTTGATTTAAAAGCATATCTATAATTTGTTTAATAATTGTATTTTCATCCTTTATTAATGATCAATTTATCATTTCTAAATGAAGAATTGCATTTTTTATAAACCAGTTATTTAAGAGTTGTCCGTGGTTCATACGATTACTTAGAGCGAGTGAGTAAATGATTAATAAACTATTTAAATGTGCATTCATACATCTTATTATTCAGACATATAGTGATGGTTACTTAATGTGTTAATAAATGCTTTATTAACATGTATTAATGCTGTAATTAAGGATTAATTTGGGTAGTTATAAAGCATTTAGTAGTGGTCAGTTAACTATTTTTGTGACCTAATCTAAAGTGAGGACTAGTCATGCCTTGTAAAGCATTTTTAAAGGCTGTTAAATATTTCTATGTTCTGTATCACTGTGTTGTGTTTGTTACATTTTACTGTTTAGAAGATTGACGAGTCTTTAAATCGTCTTTATAAATGCTTTACAAGGCAAGAATAGTCCTCACTTTAGATTAGCTCACAAAAATAGTTAACTGACCACTAATAAATGCTTTATAACTACCTGTATTTACTACATTTACTTACACTTTCTAAGTGGTCTTATGAATGAATGACAACTCTTAAACAACTGGTTTGCAAATAATGTTATACTTCATTTAGAAATTATTAATTGATCATTAACAAAGTATGAAAATACAATCATTAAACGCATTATAGATATGCTTATAAAGCAAGAAAAAAGGATGTATAGCTATATTTATAAACTGCATATTAATGTCTATTAATATTTTATAAATGATGTATTAACTGTTTACTCATGCTTAACTAATGATTAATAGCGTGCAGTTATTATAAAGTGTTACCAAAAGTTTTTATTTTATTTTAGTATTATTAAGTCCAGCAGGAGTTAACAGGGTTGTGGTAATCAGCCAAACTTTAACCCCTTGGTGTGGCCACACAAATGCATGCGGTAGCTGAGGCTACATTTACACGAGCGTTTTCGTTTTAAAACTTTTGCTATGGTTACACCTGGCATCAACACTAATCCAGACTTTTTGAAACGCTGCAGAATCCATTTTCATCTCAAAGCGTCGGGGTTGCATTTCAGTGTATAGACCCTTTTACAGTTGGTAAACATGGTGACGTTTTTTTGTGGGCGGAGCTTAGGTGGAGGCAGAACGATCCCTCTGGCCGCTTCACTAACGCTAGTTAGCAAGGATTGTTAGCTTGTTTTTTAACAATGACTGGAGAAAATCCGATATTATCTTAATGTGTAAGGTCACTCAGTGTCCAGGACCGCGATTGTTATTTCCAAAAGTTATTTTTAACGGACGGAACCAGATTGGCCGACCTGTAGCCGCCTACACGCTCACTCAATGCATGGATGATCTGATAGGATTAACGTACGTCACCTCGGTTGAGTGGCCTGACTTCTACACCTACCTTATAGAGAAACTGATCATAAATAAAAACTGATGGCATATAAATCTTTAGATGCCTATATGGTCCTGTACAAGACTTGTGTGTACGATCCGCAGTTCTGCCGAGCCAGCGCCGAGACCACGACAATGTAAAGAGTGACGATACAGTGCAATTTTAATGATGTGAATATTTTCTAGAAATAAAAGTTCCAGATACAGCATATTCATTTTTCATCAATTCTTGCACCAAACAACACAACAAAATGACATTTAATAAAAGTAACAATGATTTAAGCTCCTTATTATGTAGCCGAATCTTGGCCGCCTCCAATTTTCACTTTGTTTTGCCTCCAGCTAGCGCCGTGACATAACTGTGACGTCGGCGCAAAAGGGGTCTATATACGGACCAAAATGGAGACTTTTGAAAACAAAGGCGTGGCTTCCCACATTCGCTTCCTGATTGGTTCTTCTGGGTCATTGTGTATCCTTCCCTGAATTGTCAAGCTCCTATAATATGACCATTACGGCAATAACAGATCAGTCTCGAAGACCATGTAAACAATAACATGGAGTGGAACTGCAAGCTTTGCTGACTTTGTTTTCCTTTTTAGCAGCCATTGTGGAGTTAAACTCTTAATTTTAGAATACTGCAGCTGCCTACATAGTGGCAAGCTGTTATTAGAGCAATCTGCAACAAATCTCATCAAGCGGTGCAAGCCCTGCATGGAAACGCTCATGCCTAGTGTGCATGAATGGTCATGTGACATACGATTTTTTTCTGAAAGAGTGGAAATGCCAATAGGGACGAGGATCGTTTTCATTTTAAAATGCCATGTTTAAACGAAAACTCACTAGTGTAGACATAGCCTAAGACTAGTGTCTAGGGTCAGATGTTCTCCTTATACTTGCAACTACCAAACATGACGTCAAAAACTGTGGTTGGTCTTGTACAGCCTTGGTCTTGTGGGTGATTTTTGGCCAAAGTTAACAATATGGGGCAGATTTTATACCGATCAAATGTCTGACACTGTAACCAAATTCCCTCACGCAGCTGTTGCTTGAGTCTGTTTAACTAAAACAAACTTGTGCCTATCGTTTAATCTTCAAGGAAAGGGTTTCAATAATGTACTGTCATTCATTCATTTACCTTTGGGGTGTGTGGATCATTTGGCAACAGGCATACCATGATGCAACCCTTGGAGCAGCTATGGATTAAGAGTCACGCTCAAGGCTGAGATTAGAGGGGTCATGAGAACCAGTGCCAGTTGCAAACATCTGTGGATTCACTAACAAGGTTCAAACCAGCAACAATATGATTAGCATTATGGGTCTATTACTCACTTAAACATTTTTAACCCAATTATAAGTGTTCGGAGTGAAGCTACAGTCAGTCCTGCCATTTGTTTAGCTGTGTTTACACCTGGTATTAAGATGTTTTGGTCGATCCTACCACAAGCAATTACACCTGGTGGTAGTTCACTCACGGCTCTTCCTTGATTCCTTCTGCGCTTCCTGGTGTATTTTATTGGTTTAATTGTTTGTCTGTGCACATGCATCAGTCATATTTCATAATGTCACAGCCTCTTTATAGTGACTCAACAGACAACCTGCTGCTTATGAAAGAATTGGTCTAATTCAATTTCAAAAATATGTCTAATATTTATTTATGTATGATATAGCAATACATACATGTATATACCTGTATGAGATTTCTTTCATTTTTAATGCAAGAGTGCATCCTTTGTTAAAGCCAACTTATAGTACATTTTTTTGTCAGTTTCCCAAGTGTGGAGTTTGGCTGCAGGTGTGTGGAGTCTAGTGAATGTTCTCTTACATTAGGCATCCGAATACCCACAATTCCTGCTCCAGTGCTTCTGTATTCATAACACACATTCTAAAGAGAAATGCACTTTCTTTAGACACTCTTTCGCTTTGCCTGCAAACGATCACTCATATTGTTCCTCATGTGACTCTCTGAGCCCTCACTCACCTCTAATGTCACTGTTATTTTTTTCTGTCCTTCCTCTCTCTCTCTCTTTCTCTCTCTCTCTCTCTCTCTGCCGCCCAGTCTGGCTGCTATGTAGGGTAGCTCCGTGGAGACTAGGGCATTGCAGTGCCGTTGTTTTTGCTCACCTAACCTTTCTTATCGCTGTCTCTTTCTCACCTCAACCCTCTTTCCTTTTTCCCTCCTCTCCCCACTCTTTCTTTATTTTATTTGACTCCATGCTTGTCTAAATAATAATGCTTTGCAGGGAAGCTTTAGGGGAGTACAGATTTACTCTCATATTTACAGAAGAGAGCATCGGCACTGCACATCAATGCAGTTCATGTTCACATTCACATTCTCCCTGCGAGCTGTGCTCTGCTTCCCCAAGTGTGTGTGTGTGTGTGTGTGTGTTTCTTGCTTTTCCTTCACATGTATCTTAAATAGTGCGAGGAAATTTGATGCAAGATTTTTGTTGTCTAAAAAAAACGTAACATTTGTTTTCAGTGATTTAAATTAAAGTTGAACTTTTGTATATATTTAGTTCTTCAACTACTAACTGAAATGGGTTTACTAAAACTTTAATACAAATAAATTAAGTCTGTAGAAATACATATAAAATAATAGATAATAAATTACAATAAAACTAAAAATACTGTAATAAATAATACTGAAATAGCACATTTGATTTCATTCCCAAATATTACGTTATTTATTCATCGTTGGGTCTCAGTGGTTCATAATCTAGATTATCTAGACTATCTGTTTTGCATATTCATACTTAATGGTTACAATATGCAGACTACATTGAACATGAAATCATAAATGTATTTGCTTTCTTAAACATGTTCCTGTCCATTGTGATCAGTTCATCAGTCCATATATATATATATTTACACTTGTGTTTTCATCTCCAAAATGACTTTGGAATTGCATTCTGATGTCATTTTTGAACATGGTTTTGTGGCCAATCACAGTGAAGTGAAGAGACAAGTTATAGCACAATTCCCCAAGAACACTTTATATTTCATTCTTTAAATATTTGTACGCATTCTGAAATAATCACATAACTCAAGTAAAATGGTTTCCAAACATTTTAATTTTGACTACTTTTTTTAACTACCCCTTTCTCTCTCTCTCTGTGTGTATATGTATATATAGGTGGGTGCAGATCGCTTGTCCTCGCCTCTCCATTGACTGGGGAACAGCTTTCTCCAAACCCCTGCTGTCTCCATATGAGGTACTTCAGACTTGCATGCATGTACACTGCACAGTCCTCCATCTACTTTACTA